GAGGCCCAGAAACAAGAGCCACGGTCAGGGCTGGTAACACAGGGACAGTGGGACCATGGACCTGCAGGTGACACAGAGGAGATGGGAGGGGTCCCAGGGATGTAGTAGACCAGCCCCCATGTGCAGGGAAGGGGTCCCCAGGGCAGCTGCCTGTCCGAGAGCACTATGCCGCCTCAGCGTAGCCTCCAGCCTTTCTACCTGAGCAGGAATCTGGGGGCAGGGAGTGGGGGGTGGGAGTAGGTCTCAGGGGGGGAGGGGTGGGAAGGCTGGCAACACTAACCTAGCCTAGGGACCCTTGCAGCTGGCCCTTTAATCCTGCCACCCTGGCGCTCGCTGCCCCTGGAGCCAGGCTTTGGGACGGAGTGGACGGGGTCTCTGAGCACAGGCAAGAGCTGGCTTGCAGATGAACGTGGCCAGTTTACTCAGCGCCGAGTGGGGCAGGTGCCACCATGTGAGACACAGCAGCTGGTGGGGCAGTGCGACCCCCAGGGCGGCTCACACACTGGGACCGCCCACCCTTTCCGGGGGCTGCTGGGCCCTGACTGGCATGGGGGTCCCTCGTGGTACGACTTGGCGAGTCGGCCCTCCGGCTCCTCTCCAGGCCCTCCTCCCGCAGCTCTGAGACAGGCAATGTGCCCACTGGCCGCCTTATTCCTCACATGTCATGTTTCAGGTTCTTAATGAACATCCCGTCAACTTTCATCTCTTAAGGAAAAACCATCACAAAATAACCAAGTTGCATTTTTCCTTTCAAAGGGAAGGAGAGGTGCTGTCAGGTAGGAACTTAAAGATCCCCAGACAGTGTCGGCCGGTGAAGTCCTGCCGGAGGTGAGCTCCTGCTGCCTGCCCCCCTCGCCCAGGCCTTCCGGATGTTTTCAGCTCTGCTGGTTACAGGGACGGATAAAAACAAGTGTTCTGCCCTAACCGGTTTGGCTCAGTGGATAGAGCATCGGCCTGCAGACTGAAAGGTCCCAGGTTCGATTCCGGTCAAGGGCATGTACCTTGGTTGAGGGCACATGCCCAGTAGGGGATGTGCAGGAGGCAGCTGATGGATGTTTCCCTCTCATCGATGTTTCTAACTCTCTATCCCTCTCCCTTCCTCTCTGTAAAAAATCAATAAAATATACATTAAAAAAAACACAAAAAAACAAGTGTTCTGAGTCCTTAGGGCACCGGTTTTGAAAAAAAGAAAAAAAAGGTTTCTCCAGACAGACTAGGTTTGAACAAGCCTGAAAGCTGGGCTGGGCAGAACAGAGAGCAAGGTCCCAACTTTGCTGAAGCCTCGGGACAGGGGGCTCCGCTGGAAGCTCCCCCTCAGCCTCACCGAGGAGGGGAAACAGTGAGCAACACCTCGAAGAACATCCTGACCATCATCTCAGGATGTGACAATAAGCTGTGGCCTGGAGCAGCGGTCGCCATCCGGTGGTCCGTGAGGTCCCAAAGGTTGGCGACCTCTGACCTAGAGAGACCAAGCCATGATCCTGGATGCTGTCTGGGCTGAATTGTGTCCCCAGACCCTCCTATGTTCGAGTCCTGACCCCAGAACCCCGAGTGTGATGTTACCTGGACACGGGATCTTTAGCGCCCTGGGAATCGAGTTAAATTAGGTGGGTCCTCATCACTGTGACTGGTGTCTTTATAAAAAGGGGAGATTTAGAGACAGACCACAGGCACAGGGGAGATGCTGCGAGGAGACAGGGAGAAGCAGTGTCCTTGACCCCAGGACCCACTTCTGTTTCAGCTCCATCTGCGGTGCTTTGTTACAGCGGCCCCAGGACACTGATCAGAGCAGCTACTGGTCTCGTCTTACTTCCCCGAGTGGGAAACTTTCAAAGGTTTGGGTCTTATAATTTCCAAGGTACAGGCAGACCTTGTTTTATTGGGCTTTGCAGATGTTGGCCCCCGGCTTTTTTTTTTTTTTTTTTTTTTTTTTTTTTACAAACTGAAGGCAAAACCCTCCAGCCAGAAGAAGATTACAACTCACCTAACTGACATACTCGCTTTATTGCAGTGGTCTGGGAGCCAAACCACAATTTCTCCAAGGTCTGCCTACACGATGCAATTTTTTAAACATTAAAACAAAGAACGCATGGAACAGACAACTTTAAGAAGATAATGAAAAACACAGTTAAACGCCCTGGCTGGGTAGCTCAGCTGGTTAGAGCATCATCCCGATACCAGGTTGCAGGTTTGATCCCCAGTCAGGGCACAAACAAAAGATGAGTGAATGCATAAATAAGTGGAACAACAAATTGATGTTTCCCTCTCTCTCTCTCTCTCTCACTCTCTCTCTCTCTTTCTCTCTTGCTCTTTCTGTCTCACACAATCTCTCTCATCAATAAACTAAGTAAATACGTAGTTAAATTACACGTGAACATTAACCGGCCACTTTGTGCCAGGAGTGAGCATGACCAAGTTAGGAAGCCATAACCCAGGCCTGCTGTCCCGCGACCACAGGATGATGGGAATCCCGCCTCAGGAAAATGGTACCTGCTTACTGTCGTGCTCACTGGCTTTCTGGCTGCCGTCAGCAGGTGAGTCCCTCCACTTTGCCTGCAACAGAAAAAAGAAAACATAGTTGATTAAAAATAAAAACACACAGAGACCCAAGCTTTGACAAGTACTAAAGTCTCATAACATAGAGAAAGCATTCAGATCTGCTAGCTCTGCATCGGTCCTCCTGGATTACATTTCTTACACCTGGACTTTGACCTTTGACCTCCAGGCTAGGCTGTGTGAAGGTAGCATGTAGCTCCATGCACCCTGAACCCACAACGGGGACAAACCCCAGACAAGCCTTTCACTACAGGGGTCCCCTTTGAGAGCTGGGGAGTTTTGGAAAGACTGACACCTGAAGCCAAGAATGACTTAGAGCAATTTCCTCCCCACCCCTGTGCAGGTGGCCCCTCCCCTACCCTTCCAGAACACCACCTCTTTCTTTTGTTCTTTTTTTGTTAATCCTCACCAGAGGATATTTTTCCATTGATTTTTAGAGAGAATGGAAGGAAGGGGAGAGGCAGAGAGAAACATTGATATCAGAGAGACATGTCGATTGGTTGCCTCTTGCACGCCTGGCCGGGGAACCTGCAACCAAGGTACATGCTCTTGATTGGAATCGAACCTGGTACCCTTCAGTCCATAGGCCGACACTCTGTCCACCGAGCCAAACCGGCTAGGGTGAGGAGACTGGGTATCAAGCCTGCAACCCGGCATGTGCTCTGACTGGGAATTGAACCAGTAACCTCTTGGTGCAAGGGCCAACACTCAACCACTCAGCCATACCGGCTGGGCTCAAATCATTTTAATGAACACTTCTTAGAGGATTTTAGCTTCTTCCTCATTTTTCACTCCCAGCCCTCGGGTCTATGTGAATTGTCTCATGGAAAGACAACCAGTTGTCATGGAAAGACAACAGGGCTGAGTCCAGCTAGAGAGATGGTGGCTGCATGCTGTGAATGCACAAGATGCCACTCTTGTCCGGCTGGTGTGGCCCAGTGGTTGAGCGTTGACCTATGCACCAGGAGGTCACGATTGGATTCCTGGTCAGGGCACATGCCGGGGTTGCGGGTTTGATCCCCAGCCGATCAATGATTCTCTCTCATCACTAATGTTTCTATTGCTCCCTCTCTGAAATCAATAAAAATATACATATAAAAAAAAGATGCCACTGTTCACTTTGAAATGATTAAATTTGCATATGTGAGTCTCTCCCAATGTAACCAAAGACCTGTGAGGTGGCAAATCCAGGTGCAGCCCTTCCTACCCTTCCTAAGTGCTGGAGGGGCTCCCAGAACCCGGACCCTCAGTGCGGGCCTGACCCAGGGAGACCCTCAGTGCGAGGCCTGACCCAGGGAGACCCTCAGTGCGAGGCCTGATCCAGGGGGACCCTCAGTGCGGGCCTGACCCAGGGAGACCCTCAGTGCGAGGCCTGACCCAGGGAGACCCTCAGTGCGAGGCCTGACCCAGGGGGACCCTCAGTGCGAGGCCTGACCCAGGGGGACCCTAAGTGCAGGCCTGGCCCAGGGGGACCCTCAGTGCGGGCCTGACCCAGGGAGGAGGATGGGCTCGCCTGCAAGAGCAGCCCAGCTCGCTGCCAAACTGAAGGAATTCAGCCTCATCTGCAGTCAGATGCCACTTTCTTGGTGACTCCAACAGGACAAATGGAAACGCTCATGCACCCACGTCACCGAGCTTGCCTGAGGAAGAGGGTCCTCTCTGCCCCCTCAAAACACCCGGCGTGAGGGAACACATAGGAGGCCACGGCCTTGGCAGTGAGGACGGGACACCAGGTCTGAACCCTGTCCCCACCATCGTACTCTGTCCTCAGCGACATGGAGGTCCTAACCCAGGAGGGCCATCAGCTCCCAGAAGTGACCCCCCATCTCTCACTGCCCCGCAAACCTCTAGGACCACGCTGACTGAGACCCGGGGGTGCTCAGGGTCAGGGACCTGCCCACGCCCGCCCTCAGCCGGCACCTCCCCTCCCAGGGGGCAGACAGCCCTGAGAGGACCCTGCTGGCTGTGGGCCCTTCCTTTACGGTCAGCCCAAGACCGTGCATGCACGTGCGGGCAATATGCGAGCGCCTGGCAAACGGCAATCCTCTAGCGCAGCGGTTCTCAACCTGTGGGTCTCGACCCCTTTGGCGGTCGAACGATCTTTTCACAGGGGTCGCCTAAGACCATCCTGCATATCAGATATTTACATGACGACTCATAACAGTAGCAACATTACAGTTATGAAGTAGCAACGAAAATAATTTTATGGTTGGGTCACAACATGAGGAACTGTATTAAAGGGCCAGAAGGTTGAGAACCACTGCGCTAGCGTCTTCTAGGAGCTGCCAACCCAAAAGCAGATTGTCTTCAACCGCGTTACTCAGGAAGCACAACCATCTGCCCCTTACAATTTGATTAGAAACCAAAGGACAGAGTCAGCCGCCCACCAGGCAGCCCCCTCGGGGCGCCACCACTCACGTTTCCAGGTGGGCCGCTGCTGGCCGTGGAGCCGCTGGTGGGCGTGAGGTCTCGGCAGCCCCAGTCGGTGGCCATTCCCAGGTTCTCTGGGGAAAGGGAGAGCAGGCTGTGAGCGGCTGCTGGCTTCGCAGGGTCATGGGCTAAAGGATCCCCTGCAATTAGGGAAAGAGCCTGCACTGGCCTCTGAGAGGGCGTCTGAAACACCTGGGAGCTGCCAGGGCGACAGGACCCTTCAGTCTTCGGTGTGAGACGTGAGTGATTTGAGCATCAGAAAACACTGTGAAATTCAGCAAGAACAGCCACCCTCCCCACCCCAAGAACAAGCAGAAAGTAAACGGGAGCTGGCCACTAGACACACACCTGGATCCCAACTCGCAGGCGTTTAGGAGGAAGCCGAGGAACACCAAGGGGGAGGGCCGGTCTGCGTGCACCCGTCGCAGAGGCTCGTTTCTGCCTTTGGGAACATTCTATGGGCCCATCTGGCCTTCAAAACTAGCCTCAACCCACACAAACCCGTGCCAGTGCCCAGCCACTGTACTCAGGAGCCCGGACACCTGGAGGCAGGGCCCAGCCTGCAACAGCTCCCACCCTAGGAACCCCAAAGGCATGTGGGGCCTCCCACCTGCTCCCCCATCGAGAGCCTGCTCAGGATGAACAGAGTCTATGAGTCTGTGCGCTGTCTCCCCTGATGGGCTTACGGCAGCGGCTAAGCCGGAGCCCACTGGGCGTCTGTACTTACTTTCCACATGTGCGAAGGCACAGAAAGGACCCCGAGGGCAGTAGCCGGTTTGGCGCATGTCGTTGCACTTTGTGGATTTGTAGATCTAGGAACAAACATAACATAAAGTGGAGACTCGATTGGAAATGGGTTTCCGTGGGCAGCCCAGAGAGGATGCACCACAACATAGGGAACTAAGCTCCCAATCGCAACGGGAGTCTTCGGAAGAGAGGGGTGTGGGCGTGGCCCCCTCCCTGAAGGCCCGCAGTCCCAGATCCCCTCCTCCGCACAGGGCCAGACAGTCCGGGGACGAGGGCCTGGAGCACCTGTCCTTAAAGCCACACACTCAGTTTCTCCACGTGGCGTTTTCTGAAAGATGCACCTGCTTCAGTGCCTGGTACACAGCAGGTGCATTTCAAGAAACGCCTATTAAATGAACACGTGTCCACCCCGTGACCAGACCCACTTGGGTCGAAGATACTCTCGTGCTGTCAACAACACCGGGGTCTGGCCCTGCAGCACACGGGACCCAGGAGGAGCAGACCAGCCTCAGGGCTGCAGATGCGCCTTGTGGGCGTTGCCACGGCAGAATCTCTGCACTCCTGCCCAGACCCCACACCGACACCACACCACCCTCCTTCCTTCCCCACCGCTCAGTCCCCTTGACTCAACGGTCTGCTAGGCAACCACGCCAACAAAAACAATTTCAAAGGGTCTCAAATTCACTAAAAACATCAGGAAGCTACATGTCATTGTATGTGCATTTTAAAGCACAGCACTTTCAGGAAACAAAATGCAATCACCACCCTTTGGATGGGTCCCCACCCCTTCCTGCAGCCCAGGGAGCCTCAGGTGGCACAGTCACGCGCTCCCTCACTCTGGCGCCTGCTTTCACGCCCAGGGCAGCCTCTAGTGCACACAGCACTAGGCTTGCTGGTGCTCAGTGACCCCTGAGGGAAGGTCATGCTAACTATTCTGAGTTTTGTCTTGCTTAAGCGTCAACAAATGTAATGTATGCACCAAGGCGTGTGTGTAAAAACAGATGGCACAGCCCAGAGCTAACACGATATGTGACACAGGACATCACACGTCGATCGCTGTGGCTGCAACTCCACAGGCAGCCTGAAATAAAACCAGGTGCAAATGCCCCAAGGGTGCCACTGGTTCACTCATTTTCTTCTTGATTAAGTCACAGCATTAAGAGTAAACACAGTTAAGTAAAAATTCACTGGTGTCCACGGGTTTTCAGTCCCAATTCTGCACCTACATGAGCCATATAAAAAGAAGAGAATGAGCCCTGCCCAGTTTGGCTCAGTGGATAGAGCGTCGGCCTTTGGACTGAAGGGTCCCAGGTTCGACTCCGGTCAAGGGCATGTACCTTGGTTGCGGGCACATCCACAGTAGGAGGTGTGCAGGATGCAGCTGATCGATGTTTCTCTCTCATCGATGTTTCTAACTCTCTATCCCTCTCCCTTCTCTCTGTAAAAAATCAATTAAATATATTTTAAAAAAGAAAAAAAGAGCATGAGCCCTGGCCAGTGTAGCTCTGTGGTTGGAGCATCGGTCCGTGCACCAAAGGGTCGTGGGTTTGATTCCCGGTCAGGGGCATGTACCTGGATTGCAGGTTCAGTTCCTGGCCCTGGGCAAAGGTGGCAGACAACTAATCAATGTGTCTTTCTCACATCAATGTTTCTCTCTCTCTCCCTCTCTCCTCTCTATTTAAATCAACTGAAAAATGTCCTTGGGTGAGGATTAACAAAACAAAACAAAACAAAACAAAAAAAAGAAGAGCATGAGTCAGGGAAATAGGTAAGAACCATGAGTGCTGAGCCACAGAAATGAATGGGGCAGTCGTGACCTCAGGGTGAGAGCCAGAGGTGAGGTGAGACTTTTTATTCAAACACTTCTGGTGTGAACAAGCACAGCATTTTTTCTGAGGAGTTTTCAAAACTCCAATGAAGAAATGATCATGTGACTAGAAGAGGAGAAAATAAAAACTTGAGACCGGCTGTGGTGGGGCCTGAAATGCAGGTCTAGGCTTGAGAGAGGAGGCCCGGAGGTGAAGGCTGGACTTTTATCCAAGTTCACACAAGCCCGATGCCTGCGTGCTCAGCACCAGCTGAGTGCCTTCCTCCCAGCGCCCGAGGCAGCCATTTGCCCGAGGAGGACAACTCACTCCTGACCAGGCTGTGCAGGCCCCTGGCAGCCCTCCTCCGCCACCCACTGGCCCTGCCTCCCCTCTAGCCCCGTGGAGTTCAGCACATGAGCCCACCCCTCAGTTCACAGGGATCAGCACACACACTACCACCCCTGTGGGTGGACATCCACCCTCTCACCCTCGACCCCTCCTGCAGCCCAGCCCTGGCCCCCACCCTCCTTGGGCCCGTGCTCTCCTGCGAACTCAGGCTCTGAAGGGGGCTTGTTGGCTTAGTCGCTTTGAACACAAATCCACGTGAGCTCTGGCTAGCTGAGCAGGCTCTGGGGGGTCACACCCTGCACGATACAAAGGAAGGACTGACCTTGACCAACTCCTGGGAGGGGACCTCGGTGCCCCTCAAACGTCTTGCCCGGTAAGTGTCTATTTGCCTGGCCTTGGCCACCCTGGATAATGACGATGTGACCTACGGCGGGGGCCCTGGACCCCACGGCATCAACTCGACCCAGGTCAGCTACGTCTCCACAGTCGACTCCCAACAAAAACCCCAGACACCAAGGCTCAGGTGACTTCCTGGTTGGCAACACTCTGCTGACCCCAAAGGCACTGGGAGAAGTGAGTGCCGTCCGTCATTCCCTGGGAGAGGACAGCTGGAAGCTCACACCGGGCCTCCCCAGGCCCTGCCCCCCGGGGACCCTGCCCCTTGCTGACTTCACGCTGTACCCTTACAGAGTAACGAGCCCTAACTGCGGACCTAATGGCTTTGCTGAGCCCTGTGAGTCTCTCTAGAACAGTGGTTCTCAACCTTCCTAATGCTGCGACCTTTTAATACAGTTCCTCATGTTGTGGTGACCCCCCAACCATAAAATTTTTTTCGTTGCTACTTCATAACTGTAATTTTGCTACTGTTATGAATCGTCATGTAAATATCTGATATGCAGGATGTGTTTTCTGATGGTCTCGACCCACAGGTTGAGAACTGCTGCTCTAGGGGGACCCCCCAAACATAGCAAGGAGCCACCAGACCCACCCTCTCCAGGCTATGAGTTACGCTGACCGGCTAGCTGGAGCCCCGCCTCCTGCTCGTACCTCAGGGTGGAACTGCTGCTCCGTGCGTGAATGGCAGTACTGACAGCTGTCCCCACTGTCACACCTCGAGGGCTCACCCCACTCATCGCCGTGCTTCACGCTGGGGCACGGAGTGGACCTGGGCGACAGGGGGAGTCACAGGAGGGTCTAGAGGAGACCAGCTTTCTGCGTGCCGGGGGTGCTGGTCTACCGGCCTGCCGCCGGGCTCGCCTCTCAGGACGGTGCACCCACAGGCACACGGCCCTGCAAGGACCGGCCTCTTTCCCTCTGAGGACAGGCAAGCACAGGGTGAGTGCCATCTGGACCCAGACAGTACTCAGGAGCCCCGGGGTTATTTTCCACAGAAACTAAAGGGAGTCTATGTTGGGGCTCCCCACACTGGCGTGAGCAGCATCTTGGAGAAGCGGCCGGACCTCCCGAAGCCAGGAAGCGGAGAGCCCATCTTTTCTCGAGGTTGTTTCAGAATTGGATGTGAGGCCCTGGCCGCTTGGCTCAGTGGATAGAGCATCAGCCTGCGGACTGAAGAGTCCCAGGTCGGATTCCGGCCAAGGGCACATGCCTGGGTTGCAGGCTCGATCCCCAGTAGGGGGCGTGCAGGAGGCAGCCGATCAATGATTCTCTCTCGTCATTGATGTTTCTATCTCTCTCTCCCTCTCCCTTCCTCTCTGAAATCAATAAAGAAATTTTAAAAAATTGGATGTGAGACTTTTCCCGCCTACACTATGAAAAGTCTAACCGAAATCCTCCCTTTGTCGTGTACTTGGCAGCATTATTGTAACTTGTTTGGTTTCATAGAAAAAATACCACCAGTGGTAAGTAAGACTTTTTGTTTTCTTGGTTTTTTTAATCTTTATTTTCTAACCCTTCCATACGCAGTAAACTCACTTTACCTTCTTCAGCTAATATTTGGTCACTAATACTTGGAGCCGACTAAGTTAGGCTCTGCTCCCTGACTGTGAAATGACTCCGAGGAAGAACAATGACAGGTACCCAACTCTCCACGGAGACAGCGGGTCCCCAGGCAAGGGAGGTGGCAGCAGGTAAGCAGAGGGGCTCTTTGCTCAAAGGAAAAGCGGGACAGGAAGCTCAGGGCCTGGAGGAGGCAGGAGGCAAAGGCCCAGGGGCCTGTGGGCACGGGCTCACCGGTACTGGAACCTCCGGGGGTTCCGCCGCCTGTCCCTGCTGTTGTGGTAGTGGGGACACGCATAGCCCTGGCGGCAGAGGCGTGGCGGCTTCGGGCACTGCTCGGTCTTGTAGCTGCCCAGCACGAAGTTGGTGTCTGAAAAACAGGAGTCCACATGTAAACGAATACACGCATGCTCACAGCACATGTGCTCGTAGCAGCCCTAGTCACACAGCCCAAAGGATGCACACCCAAGTGTCCGTCCACAGAGGAAGGAAGAAACACAGTGTGCTCCATCCGTCCAGAGGCATAGTATTCGGCCATGAAAAGGAATGAAGCACAGACACAAGCTACAGTGTGGGTGAACCTCAAACACATGATGCTCAGTGCAAGAGGCTACACACAAAAGACCACGTATGTGTGATTGCTCTTATAGGGAATGTGGAGAACAGGCAACTCCACAGACAGAAGGTAGACGAGTGGTTGCCGGGCTGGGGGAGGGGAGGGGGGGAGTGACTTATGATGGCTATGGGGCTGCTGTGGGGAAGCCAGACAGAGTGTGGAACCAGAGAAAGGTGGTGGTTGCACATTTGAATATACCACAAACCACTGAAACGCACACTTTAAAAGGTTCACTTTAGCCCTGGCATAAACAATGGGCTCTGGGTGATCATGCGTTGACACAGGTTCAAGACTGTACCCAGCGTCCCTCTGTGGTGGGGACATGGGCATGTGGGGGCACAGGGCTCTCTGTACTTTCCACTCATGTCAAACCTAAAACTCCTCTAAAACCTAAAGTCTATGTTTTAAATGATTAACTTCATGTATCTGGATTTTATCTCCAAAGCAAAAACACACAGAAAGCCACCAGGGTCATTTAAAAGCAGTAACCAGCCCTAGCTGGTTTGGCTCAGTGGATAGAGCGTCGGCCTGCGGACTGAAGGGTTCAATTCTGGTCAAGGGCACATGCCCGGGTTGCGGGCTCAGTCCCCAGTGGGGGGATGGGGGGCATGCAGGAGGCAGCGGATCAATGATTCTCTCTCATCATTGATGTTTCTATCTCTCTCTCTCCCTTCTTCTCTAAAATCAATAAAATATATTTTTTTAAAAAAGCAGTAACCAATGAGGGGATTCCTAAAACTCCTATCCTCTCTTGGGCTGGTTAATAACTGACACCTTATTACATATGCTGGGTTTTATTTCAATTACAGCTGACATTCAATATTATTTCATACTAGTGTACAGCACGGTGGTTAGGCATTTACACAATTTGCGAGTGATCCCCCTGATAAGTCTAGTACCCACCTGACAGCAGACATAGTTATAATATTGACCATATTCCCTATGCTGTACTTTACATCCACGTGACTATTTTGAAACTACCAATTTACTTATTAATATGCTGTTGTTTTTAAATACATCTGCTCGGTGGGCTAAGCACTAGTAGCTGAGGAACCAGCAGGAGGGAGGGAGGGGGGTGGGAGGAGCGAGTGCAGGTGAGAGCAGCAACGCTATGCACAGGGTACGTTTACATGACCATATCATCCGTCCAGGCCACATTCAGCTTCAGATTGCTTCTTACATGACAAGTGATGCTAGCCACACAGCAGGGCATAGAGACAACCAAAGGGGTTTGGGCAACAAGAAAGCTGACTTTAAGAAAATAAAAATTGTAAGACATTTATTCACAAGTATTGACTGAGTGCCTGGGACAGATACGAGGTCCTGTGCCAAGTGGCATGAAACACACATAAATGAACTGCATGACAAGAACCGTGAGACACGGAGGCTCACAGGTGTCCTTCAGTAGGTGAATGGTAAATAAACCACAGTCCATCCACACAAGGGAATATTATTCAGTGACAAAAGAAATGAGTTATCAAGCAATGAAAAGACAGGAAGGAACCTTGAATTCATATTACTAAGTGAAAGAAGCCGATCTGAAAAGGCCAAACCTGGATGATTCTGGAAAAGGCAAAACTACCGGAGACAAAACAATGGAGTAAAGATCAGTGGTCGTCCGGCCGGTGTGGCTCAGTGGTTGAGTGTCGACCTATGAACCAGGAGGTCACGGTTCAATTCCAGGTCAGGGCACAGTCCCCAGTAGGGTGTGTGCAGGAGACAGCCAATCAATGATTCTCTCTCTCTCTCTCTCTCTCCCTCTCCCTTCCATAAAATACATTTTTTTTTTTTCAAAAAATATATTTTATTGATTTTTTACAGAGAGGAAGGGAGAGGGATTGAGAGTTAGAAACATCGATGAGGAGCTCCAGTGGCGCAATCGGTTAGCGCGCGGTACTTATAAGAAACATCGATGAGAGAGAAACATCAATCAGCTGCCTCTTGCACACTCCCTACTGGGGATGTGCCCGAAACCAAGGTACATGCCCTTGACCAGAATCAAACCCGGGACCCTTGAGTCCACAGGCCGACGCTCTATCCACTGAGCCAAACCAGTCAGGGAGCATAAAATACATTTTTAAAAAGAGAAAGGCTCAGTGGTCTCCAGGGGGTGGGGGGACAGAGGGACGACTAGGCTGACAGAGAATGTTTAGGACCGTGATACCACTCTGTGGGATGCCACATGAATAGATACACATCATTATACATTTGTCCAAATCCAGAGAATGGACAGCACCAGGGCTAACCCTATAGTAAACTGTGGAGATTAATAATAATGTATCACTCTTGGTTCATTAACTGTAATAAATGTACATAATGCAAGATGTTCAAACTGAGGGAACCTGGGAGGGGGACATGGAAACTCTGTACTATCCGTGCAAGTGCAAATTTTCTGTAAACCGAAAACTTCCCTAAAAAATAAAATCTACGGCCCGAGCTGTTTGGCTCAGTGGATAGAGCATTGGCCTGGGGACTGAAAGGTCCCAGGTTCGATTCCAGTCAAGGGCAGATGCCTGGGTTGTGGGCTCGATCCCCAGTAGGGGGCGTGCAGGAGGCAGCTAAGCCATGATTCTCTCTCATCATCGATGTTTCTATCTCTCCCTCTCCCTCTCTGAAATCAATAAAAATATATTAAAAATAAATAAAAAATTAAAATAAAATGAAATCTGCTAATTAACAATCTAAACCACCACCTATGGGTGAAGAACAAAAACATAGAAAGACAGTGTGCAATGGCTCTTCTGAAGAGGAAGGTGGTTTCAGCGCCACTGGTGGTGTCTAGCCCAGCGGTCGCCAACCTTTCGGGCCTCACGGATCACCAGTGGCCCTCGGACCGCAGGTTGGCGACCGCTGGTCTCGAGCACTTGGAAAACGGAAGCCAGAGCACCTGAACCAGACAGACTCCTGACCCAAACCCAGGCGCAGGCACCAAGGTTACTCCGTAGGGCCCTGGGAAGCTTCGGGCCAGCCTGCCATCCCCTCCTCCCACTGTCCTTCCTCAAGCTCAGCCCCTGATGGTGCTGGGGACGGTCGCCCACACCTGCGCTGTGACCCAGAGCACCGGCTTCAGCAGGTAGAAGTCAGGGATTTTCCGATCAGGGAGGCCTACCAGCTGGGAAACAAGAAATGGAACGTTCTCAAAGGCGTTTTCCAGAAAAACAGAACAATCCCCAGTGAAGCACTTATCCTGGATGCTAGGAAGCGGGGAGCTGTGGGCACACAGCGTTTCCCGGGGGGAGATCTGCCCCCAGCAGTGACATCACAACATGGGGAGGACCTCAACAGCACAGGCGGTCGCCCTGAAACTTGGAGTAGGGTCCCTGGGCCCCCTCCACATCCCAGACGAGGCCATGGTCCTCAGTGCTGGTTCAGCTGGGGGCCCAGTCCCGAGTCCTCGGTGCTGGTCACACAGGTGCCACACAGAGTGCCAGGGCCAGAGCGGGGGAGCAGGAGGTGGGAGGGGAATCCGGAAAGGCCTGTGCCATCACCTTTACTAATTCACCCCTGGAACCGCAGCCCCAGCACAGACATTCTGTGAGCAGAGGAACTCACTGCTCACGGACTACAGTCCCGCAGCGTGGTTCATGCATGTGAGAGTCAGTGAAGGAAGTTGGGGGAGACACAGCGTTACTTAGAGGCGTTTTCTTAAACCCTCACTGCTCTTTGGGATGCTCCCGAACAGGCAAATCCAAGGAGACAGAACGCAGACCAGTGGGGGTCAGGGACCAGGGAGGGACTGCTTAATGGGGACCGGGTTTCCGTCCAGGTGATGGAATGTTCTGGAATTAGAGAGTGTTGGTCGCACAACATTGGGAATGGACTAAATGCCACTGAATCGTTCACTTTAAAGTGGTTAAAATGACAAATTTATGTGATGTGTATTTTACCACAAAAAAAAGATTTCACTGCCCATCGCCATCATCTGTGGAGGCTGCCAGGGGTAGGGCCCCACAGTCCCAAGGGATACGGCCATAGTTCAAACAAACCCCAGGGACCTAAGGCTGCTGATCTGAGGGCCACGCAGAGGCCCACAGGGCAGGGCAGGCAGCGCCATGAACAGCAACCCAGTTCTGGGAGGGCCCATGTGGGAAGGAGCTGTGCCAGCTGTGCACCCTCCCCCCAGAGAAGCCGTGGTGTGAAGTGGCCGGGGGGCCAGATGCCTGGGTTCAGACCCCCTCAGTCCCCACACCCCCCAGGACCGAGGGTAAAGTACTCGACTCAATGAGTCCCAGTTTCCCCATCTGATCGACCAACGAGGGCAATGAGGTCCACTGCGGAGGTCACTTTACAAAGAGTGCTCAGGGCTCCCCTGCCCACCCTCAGTGGCGGCCATGGGGTTACCTTGCCACCGGGGGTCCTCGCCCAGGATCTTCTCGATCATGGCCTGGCTGGCTAAGACCCCAGGCTGCAGATCAGGGATGCCATCCCCACCGCCGAGCTGGCCGTTCTGCAAGGCTTCCTGGGCCTGCAGCTCCCTGCGACCAAACAACACAGCGATTACGGCTCTGGAGTGTGTCCAAGCCCTTCCCGAAGGTGAGAGACTCACTCGGTTCTACCACTTTAAGGAGCCCCCATATGTCCCCGGAGAGGCTGGCGGCCTGGGGGGTTCAGGACAGTATCCTGCGTCCCTCGGGCACCCCCCTGTCCTGGGACAACGGTCTTGACCCAAATCCTAATGACTTGAGAGCTGGGTGGTGTTTCATAAGGATTCGCTCATCGCCCTCACCCCCTAGGGAGCTCCATGTTGCATGAGTCAGAAGGAAGGAAACTTTTTAGAATAAAATCAAAGCCCAGGAAAAGAGCTGCTTAGGACCAGTGATGCCTGAAACTCTGGGGAAGTGAGCTGGTTCCCCGCCTGCCCGGGGCGGGACGCCCACTCACCGGATGTCACACACCGGGGGCCGCAGGTCCAGGGGGCCGTGGGCGAAGGCGCAGTGCGGCCCGTTCTTCACGCAGTGGCCCCGGGCGTCGGTCTCGTGGATGCACGTGCCCGTCTTGTAGTAGCGCAGGTGGTACTTGCGCTCGGTGTCGCCGGTTGTCCCGGTGCAGGTACGGACACCTGGGGAGCAGAGGGGGGACACAGGGCCATCTGGGCCTTAGGGCCTGGGGACAACCTCAGCGCCAACCTGCTCCACTTCTGGCTCTTTCATTCTTTCCCTCAGCTATCTGCTCTCCCCGAAGGATTGACATCACTGCACGGACCACTTGCCCCTGATCTGGAAGCCTTGCCCAAGGCACTCAGACCCTCCCCCCCCGCCACATCCCTCAGTTACACGTGGTAGAACACACAACACCGAGTTTCCCTGAAAACCATCCTGGATAATTTCTTGAACAAAGTGTGGAAAAATAAAGTTCACTTCCAGGCCTCAGCCACGACACTCATGTTTCCTGACAAGCGTTACCAAATAGAGTGGGTGGCTGCTCCCATCCCCCATCCAGACACCTGAGGGAGGGAGGGACGGAGTCTGGGGAGAAACATGGGAGCCGGGCCATGGCTGGAGGAGGACGCTGGTGGGAGACAGGCCAGGAGAGAAGCGAATGGGGATGGAGGGACGAGAGGGGCAGTCACACAGGCCAGGGGCGGCTGTGCGCCGCTTGCTCCCTGAGAGAGTCACACGGTCTCAGGCTGCCGAGCAGTGACCCGGTCCCACGCTGCAGGGAGGCAGCAGCTGCAGACGTGGCTGAGAAGGGTTCAGTCCATGTGCAACATGGGGACTGCGCCTGCCGCGAGGTGGGTCCCCCAGACAAGGCACCCGGCAGGAGGGGAAGAGAGACACCAGGGATGCTTGTGGCAATGACCCCTTGAGCAGCCTGAGAGTCGAGGCAGGGCCAGTTGCTACAAGTCCCCAAACCCAAGGACAGTGAGGCTTGGGAAAGGCCCACTGCCACCTTGCTGTCTGACAGGCTGCGGACTTGGACCTGGATGCTGGGGGGCCCTGTGGGCATGGCTCCCCACACAGAGCACAGATGGGTGGCGCTTTGCCACCTTACAGGACCCAAAAGTAAAGTAACAAACGACTTAGTGACCATCCATTCTAAACCCTTATCTTCTGAGGAAACTAGGCTCAGAGTGCAGGCAGCTCACCCCAGACCTAACTGCGCACCTGGGTGGGCAGGGCCTAAGGGGAGACAGACACACGGCGCCAGGTAAGTCCCCAGGTCACTGGAGCCAACCAAGCAGAAGGCAGGTTAGAAGGCCGCTGGGAGCCCAGAGTCACACCCAGAAGAGCTGGATGAAGGGTCTCCAGAGATGTCTGTGCACCACGATCGTGGCAGCATGATGCTCACTAGCTCAGAGCCGGAAAGGACCCAATGCCCATCAGCTAATGAACAGATAAGCAAAACGTAGTCTATGCAGACAACAGAATACTATCCAGCCATAAAAGAACAAAGTACTGACACACGCTACGTGGATGAAACCTGTAAAAGCTCATGCTAAGTGAGAGATGCCAGACACAAAAGGTCACTATTCCACTCACATGAGGTCCCTAGAACAGTCAGATTCATCGGGACAGGAAACAGAGGAGGTTACCAAGGGCTGGAAGAGGGGCAGAATTTCTGTTTGCCGTGATGGAAAGAATTTAGAAATAGTGATGATGGTTGTCTAACACTGTGAATGTAACTGATGCCGCTGAAGTGTACATTTGAAAATGGCAAATACTGCCCTTGTCGGTTGGGCGTCGTCCCATGTACCAAGAGGCTGCCAGTTCTATTCCCAGTCAAAGGCCCAGGCCCAGGGTTGCAGGCTCAATCCCTGGTAGGGGACTGTGGGAGGCTGCTGATTGATGTATCGCTCTCACATCAATGTTTCTCTCTCTCCCTTCCTCTCTTTCTAAAAACCAATTAAAACTCTTTAAAAAAAGAATTACTATCGTATCACTATGTATTAGTATGAAAAGGAGATGTTATGCATACATACAGCACTCTATGTGCCCACAGAGAGGATGACTGTTTCCTTTGTGTTCCCAACAAGGAGTTCCAAGAAACATTTTGGGGAGATATAAGTGACATGACAAAATATTAGCATAATTACTATATCCTAATTGACATACCCTTGCCTAAAATCCCTATTATAAAGTTATAGTTTAATATATATATGATATATTTTATATGTATTTTATATATATATTTCAAGCTCCTCCAAGCCCTTCCCTGTGTCCTCACACAGCGCTGCCATGTAACACAGTTTCTGAGAATGTCATGGAGAACCCTCTGCCACGCCAGGGAACCTGACCTAGAACACAGGACCCCTCCCCGTTTACTCATACAGATTGCTATCATCATAAATAAAGAACCTGAAGAAATAAAGAGACCAGGAATTCACAGAACAATAGACTAGGGAAATAAACAAAGAATCTACAAGACAAAAAAATGTCATGGGTCATGACCACTGAGAGGCACTTGGCATGGAAAGCCCCCTGTTCCGGGGCAGAACCCAGAGCAGGCTGCGGAGAAGCAGACGCCCTTGCCGGAAGAAAGCCAGAGCGCGGCGACTTCTCTGGAGGGGCGTCTGGTGACACGGAACAAGACGGCGGTGCATTTACTCTCTCCCCGAATGACCCACTTCTAGAGACCGGCCCAGAGACAGCTGGCAAAAGAGAAAAAGACGGCCCCCAACACGATCTCTGCAGGGCTGTCTGTCACCCTCAAAGCTGCAGACAACCAAAGCCCTGGAATAAACAACAAGGGATGGCAGTGCAGCTCTGAGGAACAGGGGGGTCGGTATGGACAACCAGGGAAGGGGCGCCAGGAGGTACTGTGAGGGAAAAACATGAAGAAAGGGGTGTTTATATCGGAAGATGGGGAACAAGAATACCTATATATCTGCTTATATAAAAAATTATGGAAGGAGCAGCAACTGTTCAATGGGGAGAGAATTTCAGTTTGGAGATGGAAAAGATCTGGAGATGGATGGTGATGATGGCTGCCATGTGAATGGACGTAATACCACTGAAGTGCATATTGAAAAAAGATAAGGTGGTAACTTTTATTACAAAGTAAACAATTTAAGCTACTAGGAAAGCCACCACTTTACAAAAGCAGTTCCAACCTTCAGACCTACCTATGCATGTACTACAAGTCAGGCATACGAACCCCACAGGCTGGGGAGAGGGCACCAGCGCACCAGAGCTGAGGCAGCCTTGAAATTTCTCTACAGAACTCACTCTGAACAGCCGCAGCACAGCAGAGGGCTCCCGACTTCCCTAATGTTAAATCTACAGTGTCATTTGTTCCCTAATGGCCCCTCAGGGTAGCTCTGCGCATCATTTGTTTCTTCTCCAGTACCACTGCCATGGCAACTAGAGTCAGGCCAAGGCTTCTTGTTCCCCAGCACCGAGCACCAAATAGACACTACAGTGGGGCCTTGACTTATGAGTAACCCGACTAACGAGTTTTTTGAGATACGAGCAGTCTCTCCGCCGATCTTTTGCTTTGAGTTGCGAGCTAAAATTCGGGTTACGAGCCAGCTTCAGATACCCCACCGCTAGTTGGCGCAGTGAATGTCACAGTGAACGCCACAACATCAGCCCAGCATCATGTGTCTCACTCGTTCACTTTTGATTTGACATACGAGTAATTTGAGTTACGAGCTCCGTCACGGAACAAATTAAACTCGTAAGTCAAGGCCCCACTGTACTATGTCACTCAGAGCATGTCACCTTCTTCATGAATTAAAACATGAACTGACCTTAAAATACTGGAGAACATTTAATAAGAAGAAATTGGCTTCACCTTAAAAACATCTAAGAGGTGAAATGGAAAACCTCAGAGAACACCCAGTGACAAAGCCAGGCCCCCTCCCGGGCTAGGGAAGAGGCCCCCGGGGACGGCCTGACACCACTTGCAGATTCCTCTTTGCGCAGGAGTGCACTAAGCCATCCCCAGGACGGCTGCCAGCCTTGCAGCACTTGCCAAATTCAGGGTGACATCCATGGTTCTCAAACTTGTCACAATTAGTGACCTGAACAGGGTCACTAAAACAGGGCTCCCGATGGCATGGTGCAGGGGCACGTGGCGTGGTGCACGCCGGCCCCCGGACGTAGCTCCACCAGAGGGCTGTGCAACCACTGAACCAGGATGGGAGGAACAGGGAGGAACACAAGATTGTCCCTAACCAGCCAGGCCTAGTAGCTCAGTTGTTTAGCCAAGGCTGTGGGTTTGACCCCTGGTCAGGGCGCATGTAAAAACCAACCAATGAATGCAGACATAAGTGGGACAACAACAAAAGACTGCCCTATCCCTAAGGCTCCAGGAGAGCCTGAAATTGCCCCTTTCTCACCCGAAACAAAACTGCGCCCACCAAACTCGGACCTGCTGCACAACAAGACCAGTCTGTGTGTGTGAGACCAAGGTGGCCACCGAACTCAAACCCACTGCGCATTAGCATCCGCCTGTGAACTGGCCTGGGCCTGGGCCAGGGCTCCCACACGGGAAAATGGGTCAGAATCACCTGGAGGGCAAGTTCCCCGGTGATGCTGCTGCTGCTGGTCTGGGGCTGGTCCAGGAGACACACTGGGCTGAGAATGACAAGCAAGATGACCCCCTCCAAGTCCTCCAAGCTCCGGCACAAGTGGGAGAGCAGAACACAGCACAGAAATGACTGAGGTGCAAAATGGAACAGAATGAAGCAACCTGATAGGGGTTTGGAAAATGAGCAATGGCAGAAAGACCTGTGTGCTGCATACAACTGGGGGGCAGGGTCAGAGGTGCTGGGGTCAAGGTGCGGGGATGGTCAAGTGTGTCCTCTTACTGCCTCTCCTCTCAGACACTGGGAGTGGGGGTTTGCCAGCCCCCCATGTTGACCACATCCATCTGTTCATCCCTGGGCCCTGCAGCCTCTGGCTTCCAAGGGCTGCCCTGAACTCCTGAGCCAGGACAGTGACCCCTCATTAGTCCCTAAGGGGGAGCATGAGCTCCAGCAACGAGTGCACCTCCTTCCTCTGCACCCAAAGAGCGACCACTCTCTCCCAAGGACAGAAACGTCTCTCCACCGGCCCCAAGGGGCACCTGATCTCCCCGGGCCAGGCCTTTC